CAATTTTTATTATTCTCCTTTCTAGTTCAGTAATTAGTCCCTCTGTCTTCTATTCTGCTGTTGTAGAATCCACTGAACCTTTTATTCTGGTTATTTTTTATTTTGTATTTTTTGGTTCTAAATTTTATAGTTGGTGTTCTTTTCATCTTCTATGTGTTGTTGCTGTGTGTGGGTTGGAGTTCTGGATCCTTACTAGAATGATGCCTCCTGGTTTGGAGAAATAGGAGTGCTTCATTCCTCTTCCCCACTTTACCAGTGACATCATGTGGGTGGAGGTGGCCTCATTACCACAGAGAAATGGTGAACTTCTTTATGGAACTATTATGGGCTGGATTTCAGGGTCCCATCTTTGATCCAAACTCTGCCAACCTTCCAAATTATTACATGAAAATGCCCCTAACTGCAGCATCTACTATCCCACTAGAAACTGAGATGCATAGCAGTTTATAATACCAAGACCCACCCTCTCACTTGGCCTTTGCTGTTCTTACAGGTGCTGGAGGTCAAATGTGGATATGACATCATGGTTAAGAGGAAGAACTATGGTGTGATTGAGCATTCAGTTCTTCTTTTGCCTAAAACTTTCTGTGCCTTAGTAGCCACATGTTGCCCAACCCCAGACACCATTTTTCTGATCACATCTTAGTCAGCACCACTCTATTCCCCAAATACCACCCTTCTCTTTTAGTCTGAAATGTCTTCTGTCACTAGTGAGTCATATAAGGCACCTGTCACTGGACTTCCTTAGCCTACAACACTGAAAATCTAGCCCTACCTAGAGCATGGTTACCTAAAGAATTTCAGCTGCCCAATGGCCTTCTGGATGTTGTAAGGGTAACTTGAAACCAAGCAGAGCTTCTTAGCCCACCTTTACCCTGTTCTTCCTCCTCTCCCCAGTCTAGTTAGTGGCATCGCCATCAACCTCTGCAACTGTCCCAAATCAGAAACCCTGGGGGCATCTATGACTCCTTCCTTCCCTAATCCTACACATCCAGTCAAGGGCCATCCCCCTCTTGACTCAGTTCCCATTCTGCCCCCTGGCTTCAATATCTATCTCCAGGCTTTTGTGTAACCTGTATCTTTTAAGGAGCATAGGGTTTCTCTTATGCTTTGAGGCTAGAAACCCTTCTGCTCCTGAGTCACAAATTCACCATTTCTACCATGACTTCATTCTCTGCGTAGTATAACATTCAGTGATTAACAGTAGGGGATGTAGGGCATTTCTGCCTAAGTATGAATTCTGGCTCTGCTACTTGAGAGGTTTGTGACCTTGAGTGAGATATTTAACCTCTCTGTGACTCAGTTTCTTCATCTGAGAATGAAATGGAATAATGTCAGTACCTAACTCAAAGGTATTTAATTGGATTTAAATGACTAAATACAGCTAAATTGCTTAGAGCTTACCTGGGAAAAAGTAAGTACTCAATAAATGCTATTAATATTGTTGTCATTATTAATAGCTACATAATCTTAGTAGCTCTTAAGAGCACTGCTATTCCATACAAACATGCTATAAGAATATAATGTGTTTTTCAATTGTGGTGAATAGTGGCATTTAATAAAAAGGCAAGTTAATCCACACACACTTCATGTGCCCAGAAATGTCACTGTATTGCTGCATAGAATAATTGTCAGTAATGGTGATCCCTGCTTCCTCTTTATTAATCCAAGATTTCCACCCAAAATAGCTAACAGAAGTTTGATTGTTTAAGTACCTACAATTACCTGAAAATATAAAACATAGTCACTCCACAGATAATAAAATCCTCACATGCTCAAGTCCCTTACATAAAAGTGGCATCGTATTTGCATGTAACCTATACACATCTTCCTACATACTTTTAAATCATTTCTAGAGTACTTATAATAGCTAATACAATGTAAATGCTATGTAAATAGTTGTTATACTCTTTTAGGAAACAATGAAAAGAAAAAGTATACATGTTCAGTTCAGCTGCAATTTTTTTCTAATATTTTTTATCCAGAGTTGGTTAAATCCACAGATGGGCACCCACAAATACAGAAAGCCAGCTGCATCTCATTTTATGGAATAGATAAGTGAGATTTGGTTTGATCAATGAGCTACCAGAAGAATCAAGAGGAAGGTCACCAAATTGTCATAGTTGGCAAAAGATGCTCTTCTAATTAGGAAATGATTTATTTCTATTGAGGACCAATAACTACAAACATTAGGGCATTTCTAACAGCTTCAATTCATTTAGTTTTTTTTTTTAATTAAGGAAGGCCCGAGAACTTCTTTAAAAAATAAAATTCAGCTCCATATTAAAACAAGTTTTGATCAGGAGGAAAGGAAGATGTGTCAGAAGAGAGACTAAAAGGAGGATAATTTGATGTATATCAGTGTTATGTATCTAGTGCTTGACAGCTTTCATTTGTTTGCTTGCTTTCATATATCATCTAGCTCCTCAGTGGATCAGAATCAGTATTTTAACATATTTTTTGTAACTTTGCATATGAAAGAGAAATAGCTTAAAATTTTGCTTCATTTTCTAGAAAAATACAATACAGGTGCTCCTCAATTGACAATAGGGTTAAGTCTGATAAAGCCATTATGAAGTTAAAAATGCATCTAATACCCCTAACCTACCAATCATTACAACCTAGCAACACAGCACAGTGCACAGTGTCAAAAGTCCTGTGGTACTGGTGGAGTGGCTCAACTGGTAAGAGCACCTGCCTAGCAAGCTCTAAGCTCTAAGTTCAAACCTCAGTGCTGACAAAACAGTGCTGTGGTAAGACAACTATCATTTAACCCACTTTATAGATAAAATGGAGTCCTTCAAAGGTGAAGTGATTAATCCAAACTCACTCGGCTAAGGAAGTTACTGAGCTTGGATTCAAACCCAGTCTACCCTCTCTTTAGATAAGGACATGGAACAGAACTGGAAGAGAAAATATAAGTACCTTTGAGGTGTTTGTTGGCAGTATCATTTTACTCCTGTACTCTCATCTCCTCTTTCGAATGTGGATCAGTGAATTGTTTTAGTCTTTCCTGTACTGTCCTGGAGAGCCCATGTGAATGGACATCTAAAGACATTGAAATCATTTCCTGAGCTATAGAGGTAGAGACTAAAACACTGTCACCCTAAGAGTGTTCTGCCATTAATCTAGACTATGGAACATTTTCTTCTTTTCTCTAACCTCTGTTTAAAAACTCTTGAAAAGAAATAACTAGACTAAGCCAGCTCCTGAAGGAAAATCATTGCACTTGACATCGTTAGAAATATTAAGCATATTGTTGACTCTGGTTGTCTGTCTATTTATATCTAAAAGTCTCTCCAGTGTTTGCATTTGTCAGTTTCTAAAAATCTGCCTAATTCTGAACAGATGTCCTATAAAGGCACAGTAGTACGGGCTATTATACAGTGTTTTACTTTTTTTTTGTCGAGTTATGAATGGTCTGTAAAAGACCTGCATCCCGCAATGAACTAGCAATTCCTTCAGATCTCTTGCTTTCTTCCTTCTACCCTGAACTAAAGAACAAAAGACCTGCATTTTATGGCTATGTAAATTCACTTCAGTGTGTTTCAGCAAGAGTGAATAATTTATTATAGCAATAAAAGGAGAAAAATATGTGGCTGCTTTTCTTAACTAAGATAATTCAGAATTTCAAAGGATAGCCCTTGTTTGTACAGAGCTTATACGTGGTTTTATCTCTGGAAGTAAAACATTTGTTTTGTTAAAAAAAAAAAGAATAAAACCTGAAGAAATAAAATAGAGGATGAATTTATGTTATCTTTGGTATTTGTAGTATGTGTGGCAGGTTCATACTGATGGCTGGGGATACCAATTTTGAAATATGTTAAAATGCTTTTCTTACACTTGGAAGGAAATAAAAAGGTATGAAGGAAATAATGAGCTGTTTTAGAAATTTTCATGCAGTATATATGTATCTAGATTATTAAGATAATTAAAGTGTAAAAAGATAGGGAATGTCTGCCTATATAAGGTAAATGTCTTCAGTTACATTGATGTAGACGGCATACAGGAAACCTGTTTAGCTGTACAGAATTTTCAACTTCAGCGTACTAGTTCTACATGCCTTCACTATCACCCAATAACTAATATTGGGTGCCACTCAAAATGCTTGAACACAGAACACAGAAATCAAAGAAATGAACTGGGAAGAAATATGGTTAAACAGTATTAGCCAATTGAGGAGAATCCAAATATAATTAGAGTTTGCTCAACCTTGCCTAGACATTTGAAGCTTAGATTTTGTTCTCATTATGTCTCTTTGCCTTAACCTTTCAGCAAAAATAACATCCTTTATGTTTAAATGAAAGAAATGATATGCCATTAGCCAGTGACTGTGGATCCTCCCCTCATGTGAAAAATTACTACAATAGAAATACTAATACAAAATAAATCAGGAAACTTTCAAATAGATCATAAGTATTTTATTTTAATATTATATTTTATGTAGCTTTGCAGAGGGAAGAGGAATATGTAACTTGAAATTTTACTTCGTGTTCTAGAAAATACATTGCAGGTGCTCCTCAACTTACAGTGAGATTAAGTATGATCAACCCATTCTCCGTCAAAAATGCATCTAATACTACTAACCTACTGAGCACAAGAGCTTTAGCAACATAGCACAGTGCAGTGTGCTGGTTATTTCCCCTCGTGACGGCGGGACTGACTGGAAGCAGCGCCTCACTGCTGCTGCCCTGCATTGTGAGAAAGTAGTGTACTGGGAAGAGATCAAAATTTAGATTTTGAAGTTTGTTTTCTACTGGATGTGTACTGCTTTCCCACCACCATAAAGTTGAGAAATCACTAAGTGGAAATATTTGTAAGTCAGGGATCACCTATATATAATTTTGGTAAATACAACCACCAGGAAAGACAAATAACCTTCAATAAAATATTCATGTAATATAAGTAAAATCTGAGATTTCTAAATATGAGTTGCTTGATTTATATCTAAGAATTCAGGGCTGGAATAATGTGATATTTTGTTTGGTTTTCTGTTACAGATGACTTGTTTAAAGTTCACAAGCTTAAGCCAAATCTGAAGTGGCGACAGGCTTTTGACAGCTACTTAAAAACCCTGCCTCCATACTACTTATTAGTATGTATTTATATGTATATATGTATTAACTGCAGTGATGATTCTTGTCATAAGAAATAATGTATCAAAAAGCTTTACTTCTGCAACAAGATAATTGTCTTTTTATTTTATGGACATTTGTGTCATCACTGTCTTCTCAAGCCATGTATATATGAGTTTAGAGATGTCATGATGGCACAAAAGAGCACTGTTTTCTCTGTTTCAGTTCTTTTAACTGCCATGGTTATTCTTATGGAGCACATCTATGTTTCTCTTCTTAAAATTAACCTTATGAAATTATATTTTGGAATATAAGAATCAATAGGTCTCAATTTGTTTGTTATACCAACTTCCCTTTTTAACTCTAGAAATTCTCAATATGGGGTTTGTCTCTGAAAACGAAATTCTGAAGACATTTTAGTTTTTTATTGCCTGTTAAATGTGTCCTAAACATAGTATGAAGTGGGGGCACTGGTACTGGGGAGAGGATCCAAAAAGAGTAAAACATTCATTATATGTGGCCTCATTTTTCTTCTATAGTTTGAAGAAAGCATTCATGATGATTCTGAACTGATAATATAATCTGAATCAAAATTATCAAAGCCATTTCAGAGGTTGATGTGGTCATTGAAAGCCAAGTTTCTAGAGGTGAAAAGGCAGAATCTTCAATGGGACCACTGGTGTCACTGGGAGGAGAAATTGGGGTGTGGGTATTTTACCATGGCAGGAATGGGATATGCAATACAGTGCAGTGTAAAATGATTTTATGACTTGGGAATTAAAACTGAAAGCATTTTACCTGTTTGAATTTGCTGTTACTTGCTCTTCTTAACCCACTCTCTTCTGATTATTATTTTTTTTACTTTCTGCTCCTTCTCTGCTATTTTCATTGTCACTTTTTAATGTTCCATGTTTGGTTTTATGTGCAGCACCTTGACTTCTAAGAAATGAATCATTTCCCTTTGCCCCTTATAACTGAACTTTAAGTATTTTAAGATTTATTCTATTCTTACTGTTGTGTATTTTGTTTCCTTATAGCCATTAAAGAAAGCACTAAGGATGATGGGAGCTCCAAATCTGATATCAGATAATTTAGATTGTGGACTTAGTTACAGTGTTATCTCTTACCTTAAAAAACTCAGCCAACAGGTAGTATTGGTAAAAACAAACAAACAAAAATCCTTTGCCCTCAGAAGTGCATTTCCTTATTCTTTAGTGTAATTGTAATTTTTCAAATTAAGTGTGTATATATCTCTACACTTTATGGATTAGTAATAATGTGATTCTCTATGGCTTCTAGCTTCACCATTCAACTGCAGTTAAGGGTCTGTCAGTATCATTTGATGCTGTACCATTTCTCCTTCTGCCTGCCAGTTTGTCCTGCCCACAAGCTGCCTGATGTTTTGTGGCTTAAGAGGGGCAGAGGCTTAATAGAATTCTCTCATGGATCACATTCTGTCTGTCCTCAACTTAGTTGCTCCTCATTCCCCTTTTGTAGGTCAGCACACTGACCTCCTGGCCTGGTGTAATTAAATGACTTGCCTGAAATTTTTCAGGCCAGCACGGGAAGGACTTATGCTTATATGCTAGCCCTTGGATAAATAGCTGGTTTTCCCTGGAGAGGGGGGATATGAGACCAGTGTTCCTCAACCTGGAAGATGATAGGCCCCAGAGGGACCTAAAGAGTGGAGTTCAGCCTCCTCTCTTCTTGCCCTCCATCTGTTCCTTTATACCCCACCTCATTCACCATTATTCACCTTGTCCCTTGCCTGCCCCTCTCTATTAGTACTTCATCCTCCACTTACCCCTCCTTATCATACTTCTTGCCTCTACCTAGCCCATTCTTATAGGACAGAAATGTTTGGGAACTATTAAGTTAGATTTCTACTGCCATACAATTGTTGTGTGACAAATTAATGCAACAGCTTTACTATCTTATTTACAAATATATTCATAGGTAGGAAACAGTAATAGCATTTGCAGTAACTACAGTGCTTCAAGTCAAATATGTTTGGAAGTTATGCCTTTAGAGAACAGAGACCAGTAATCAAAGTGTCAGATTTCACTAAAGGACCTAAAGAACTCCACAATTTGGATGCTGGTACACCTTGCTAGGACCTGCAAAAACTTAAGTAAGGTCTGGAGCTTACTAGCTCCTACTAGCCTAGTGTGCTCATAAGTGCAAAAGAAAGTAAAGGCAAACCAAGATTTCTGATCAACTAAGTATCCCACCATCCCCAATTCCTCTCTGCAAATAGGTTTTTTTGTGTTGTAAATGCTTTGGTTTGCTTATTTATCCATTGATTTATTTATCTATTTATTTGGTGTTTACTTTAGGCCTTTAAGGCTGTGTCAGCAGGGTATGGCCACAAGGAAGAAAAGTGAGCAGAGTTGAAGCTGATGCAAGTTTTGGGACCTTCTGGGACACATTGCTTGTATAGTTTTATAAATGAGCTTTCAGGGTCATTTAAAGAAACATGTCTTGTCTCATTTCATGACTTAAGAACTTTTTAGAGCTCAGAAATATATACATAATTCCAATAATTAGGAAAAATAAATACCTCTGACCAAGCCATAAGAAGTCAAAAATTATTTGAGGCTTATTAGACTTTGGTGGAATTTTATCTTTTAAAGAAAAAAAGAAAAGATTGTTACTAATTTATAATTTCTTTAATTATTAATCTAATACATATGTCATCAGTGTTCCTTGAACCATCTCAGATATATGTAAAACAGAAAATATGCCAAATGCCCTGCTACAATGCACTCAGGCACAATTAATTAATATGTTACACTAATGTTTATTAAGAGGATTTTTCAGTGTTTGTTAGTGAGAAACTTACTGAGTACACATTGCAAATTACTTACTTGGTAATGTTTATCAAATTAAGCCTTACCATATGAGACCTTTTAATCTAGCTCAGTATTAGAAATCAGCAGTTTAATTTTTCAGATATAAAGTCAGTCTATGTAATCTGAATTTTAGCACTAATTTACATGCATAAATGCAGAGTCTTAAACCTTTATGTCTGGTTCCAAAGAGAATATATCGATTCAGGGTAGATTTTCCCGTAGCAAAAAGTGCTTTTGAATGCCTATGAATGAAATTGTCATCTGCAGTCTCCATTCTCTCCACAATTCAGTCATAATTTTAACACTAGACAAGAAAAAATTTGCATAAAGTTATTTGTCTTTTCAGCCCCTCTGTGTTTGCTGTGGTAGTACAGAGAAGCATAGAAAAATGTTTAATTATGTTTTTCTGCGGTTCACAATTCAAAATTGTTCCATGGGGTTCTTAAAGTATTGTCTTTCTTAAGTAATAAAATGACAACAATAAGGTAGATATTTTCATAACATACTATGTATTTTCATTTTAGACTAAACTAGAGTCAGAGCGGATACTAGCATCAGTGGGGAAGAAACCACCCCAGGAAACTGGTATCAAAGTGAAAAATCATTCTGGAGGTGGCGTGCCCATGGCTCACCATAAAAATTTTAGAAAACTATTGAAAGAAATCACAGGGGAAACTGTACTGAGACTGACAGAATTGAATCCCAAAGAATTTGCTGGCTTCCAAGTAGGGCTCTTAAACAAGGTAAGTTGTGACATAACTTGTTCTTATGTTATTCATATTACGTTACTCATATTGCTTTAGTTTTGAAATAATGACAGTCCTATTTTGAAGTTAGTAGTTGTTAATGGAGCAGTTTTGGAATTGTCCTGCTGGCAGATGCCAATATGGAATTATATGTACAAGATGTGTTTGGGGGCTAAGACCCATGAGAGACAAAGGGGAGGGAGCCTGAGCAGACAGGCAGAGCCTCCAGGGCACCACGCTGACCTAGCACCTGTGAGGGATGGGTGGGAAGGAGAATCAGGGATAAGGAGACTCAGACGTTGGTGCAGCTTGGAGAGAGTCTGGATCAGGCCAAGGGGCACCTTTGGCACCGAGCTTTCTCATGGAGGAGGTCCACGTGGGCAGAGCTGGCCAGGCCCTACCACTCTTCCCGTCTCAGTCCCTGGCCACGGGCTGCCTGGAAGGAACATGGCCTCAGTGCAAAGGCACTGCAGCTGAAAACTCAGCCAACTACGCTCCCGGTGGGGGTGGCCATTTGTCCTATAGGGCGATTCCAGCAGCCCACCTCCATGGCTGCCGGAGGAATAAATCTAGGTTCCAACCAGTGGTCCTAGAAGACCCCTGAGGTATAAATCTCAGGATTTGGAGTTCTAAATGATGTGTTTGAAAAAGGATATCCCCAGCGGCTTTAATAACTTGGGGGTGTGGTAGGCTTCAGAACAATGAGTAGAAGTTTTCCAGGGAAAATTCTGCAATCACTACTTTTATTGAATATCACTCTCTTGATAAAAGTGCATTATATGCATGTATAAAAATAGAATAATGAAACAATGCTCTCTTCAATAAGATTAAGAGGGTTAGTGTGACATTTCTATATTAAAAGCCTCAAGAGTAATTGAAGTCATTTGCTTCATTTCAAATAGGATTTGAAACCTCAGACATACAGAAATGCTTATGACATTCCACGTAGATGTCTTTTAGACCAGTTGACCAGAATGAGATCCAATCTACTGAAAACACACAAGTTTATTGTTGGACAAGATGAAGGTAAATGAACAATGGGATTTTTCATTAGGAAAATGGCAGGCATGACTTACACGAAAGTATCTATTGCATAGTGAGTTGATTATTTTGTAATACATTAATGTTTAGAACTATATCTTCCCAGATAGTGTTATTTTTCTTAAGTTTAAAGACAAGTGTGCATTAGTCAGCATATACACCACTCTCAACATGCTTCTGTGTATTTTTATTGCTGGTTTTTGAGACAGGGCCTCCTATGTAGTCCAGGTTGTCCTCAAAATCTGTCCTTCTGCCTCAGCCACCCAGAGTGAGTGCCAGCAGAACCAGCCTGGTTCTTACAAGCCTCAAATACCCCCAGGAGACAGATACCATTTCTATGCCCAGTTTATAGGCACTGAAACTGGGAGTGAGCATTTTATTAGTTTACCTGGGTTTAGCCAATTGGAAAGCGATGGACTATTAGATTTCCTAACCTGTACACCCAGACAATATGCCACCCAGCCTTCTGTGAAAAATTCAGTAGAGAAAATAATGAACCAGATAGTGTCCAGGACAATAGTGACTGCAATTTCCCTTTACTCTATTTTGTTAATTTAAAATGTGGTCCCTGTCCATTAAAATGAGCAAATCTTAGTCTGGCCAGCCTTCTGAAATTACACACAATTTTGTGTGTAGGGGACTTTTCTAGGAAGAGATCCTACATATTTAATCAAATCCTCAGAGTTGAAGACCCACTAACCAAGATTTTCTGCATGATAAGAGAACACCATGGAGCCTAGGCACTTCGAAATGCAGAAGCTATATGGTGTTTTGAATTGGAGTGGTGGTGTAAGGGGAGGTCAGCCCATTCTCAAGCATGGTTTGAAGGTAAGGGAGTTGTGTGGTCCTTGTTATCTGAGCCTGTAGGCAGTAGTACTGTAGACAAAGTACTAATTGGGATGAAGAGAGATGATGCTAGATCCTAGAATGCTAGACTTGAAATTTAGACTGTATTTGATGCTAAGATACACATTACTAAACCAGACAATGACCATGTCCTCTCAAAAGGACCACATACTTCAGCTGTGGCATCAAATTCTTTGCTGGTGATTTTACAGATTCCCTTCATAGTGTTCCTGTTGCACAAATGGGTAACTATCAGGAATATCTAAAGACATTGGCTTCTCCACTACGAGAGATTGATCCAGATCAACCAAAAAGACTGCATACTTTTGGCAATCCATTTAAACAAGATAAGAAGGTAGGATACTTATTTCTGTGTCTCCCTAAATTGTGATATTCTTGCTATAATTTTCTTTTTGGCAAGTCGAATATAAATCAGAGATAAATGTGACAGTAGAGCTCTTTGTGGATGGAAAAGTGGAGACCTTTTAATGCAAGAGTGTGTTGCTTGACTAAATTAATAGCTGCCATGTATTGAGTTCATAATAGAAACTGGTGTTTTATCTGTTTATTTTGTGGGACTGGGGTTTGAACTCAGGGCTTTGCACTTGCAAAGCACGTGCTTTACTGCTTGAGCTATTCCTCCAGAGCCAGTGTTTTAAATGATTACATCTTATGCTCATAACCATTTCTGCACGGTCAATGTTCCTGCCTGCCCTTCAGTAAGAAGAAATCAAGCTTTACAGTAGTCAAAGGTGAAAATACTGTGGCATAGCTGAGTAGATCCAGGACTTGAACTCACATCTTTCAGACTTCACAGTCTATATTCATTCCCACCACCATACACTAACTCCTTTAAAATTGAGATCACCAGTCATTTCCCTATTTCCATGATTCAGGTCTGTACTGCTCTAGTGAGACAGCGATGAGTGTGCCCCTTGAAATAGGAGGTAATAGATGATGTTACTTTATTTGAATTGTCCTACCATTTAAGCATGAAAACAAATAGGATTATGTCTGCACTCATTGGGAAGAACATTGATATTATGCCACAGACCATATAATACCTCTTTTGTAACAAAACTGGACTCAAAGGTATTCCAACTCACTTCCTTCCTTGATTAACTGGAGTTGTTCATCTTTCTGTACCATGGTCTCTTCCTCTGTATTATTGCGTCTCACAGAGCTCTGTGGAAAATTAGGTGAGTTAGTTCATGTGCACTGAGCGTTTACTGAGCAAGTATTAAATGTTCTGTGACAATGTTTCCCCCTTTGTGGCTTAAGTGGGAAAATCCTTGGAGAAAGTTATTCGTCATGATTTTGCTCAAATAGTAGGGTACATATTCTTGGGTTATCCTTGTACGAGAACGGCTTTTAACTAATCTTCTATACTGCTGTCTCCCATCTTTAAATCTGCCCCCAAGAGTAAAAAGCTTCCTTACTCACTGACTAGAACCAAGGTGGACATATTTAAACCTGTATTTGAGGTTCTGAGTGGGGAATTATACTTTCCATCTGCCTGCCTTTCACCAGCTACAGAGTGTAGCATTCTGTGCAGTGACAATCAGTGTTTCTTAATGGTAAGTTTAAGCACAAAAGTACCAAAAGGAAAAATTATTTCCCATACCAAGGACTAATGCAAAGTGGTCTACACTGCTCCAAAACGGTGACCAGATTTATACCATTTGGGCTGATTAGGTTTTCTGATTAATCATTATTGTAGTATGTTTGGCACCTTGCATATTAGTTTCCTCCTTTCTCCCCTTAGACTGGGTTAAAATTAGATTTCATTTTCTGAGAACAGAGTTAGTGTGGAGTGTGATAAATCTTTGGTCTATGATTAAGACATTAAGTGATAGAATGCATTATTGATTATATATGTTTATGAAGAGTGTTTGCAGTTTTTTGATAGTTGAACTTTTGTCTTTAATGGAATATGTTCATTGATTTTTTTTTTAGGGAATGATGATTGATGAAGCAGATGAATTTGTAGCAGGGCCACAAAACAAAGTGAAACGTCCTGGGGAACCCAACAGTCCTTTGTCATCTAAGAGAAGGCGGAGTATGTCCCTGCTGTTGAGGAAACCACAAACACCGCCTACTGTAACTAACCATGTGGACAGAAAGGGACCACTCTCAGCCTCGTGGTTCCCATCTTGTCCAAACCTCATAAAACCCACCCTTGTACATCCAGGTATAGAGTAGTGGTTGTGATTTCCTTATGGCTCCTAGAGGACTAAGACACTAAACAATTTTCTCTTCCTTTGTATTCCTCTTTTTTGGGTTCAATTTTTGTTCATTAAGTAAACCATTATTAAACCATATATGTGGTAGGTACAGCAGGCCCCATAGGGACCAGAGACCCTGTTTCAAGGATCTCAGTGTAAAGGAGAGAAAATATCCATAGTTACATAGTAATTAGCACATGGTATTAGCATAGTAATTAATTAGTAAATAACAGAGAAATTAATGAAGAAATGAATAGTTATGAGCAACCATTTGGAGCAGCAGCATCGTAGGAAGATAAAACACGTTTCTGAGGCAGTAGGAACAAGTGGGCTCACACTTGTAAAAGAATGGACCAGCTCTTACTCTGTCACTTCCTATTCGTGCCCTAACAGGCTGGTGTCTGCCTCCTTGACCCCACTGAAACCATTCCCAAGGTCATCAGTGTCTGCTGCCATTTCTTTCAACAGCATTTAGCACTGATGTTCACTCCCTCCTCTGTAGAAACTTTCTTGGTTCACAGACACCCATCCCATTCTCTTTTCCTGTTTCTCTCTTCCTTTCCTACCTCTAAATATTATAGATTCTCAAAGTTCCATCTCAGGATCTCTTCTCCTCACTGCACTTTGTCTTTAGGTGATGCCATGCAGTCCTGGGCCTTTAAATTTGATTTGTATTTCAACAACTTCAGTATTTACACCTCTAGACTATGACTCACTCCTCAATTCCAGACTCTGATGTAACCATGGGCATGACAGCTCCACTTAGGTGTATAATATGCATATAATTCAGCCCATCTTTGCACCTCTCCAAAACAGTTCTGCTGACATCTTCTGCATGGCAGATAATGACATCATTCAGTGACGTGCTGGTTGAACTATGGCACCTGTAGGGGTTGATAGGGTAGAGAATCTCTAGATTGTAATGTTTGCAGATTTCCCTAGTGTAAATAATCCTAATATTACTGATGCCAGTCTATCAACCTGAAATCACTGAATCAGAGTCAGGAAGAAGAGAGTACAGTCTACCCTCAAGAGCAGTAGTTTGCTGAATCCTGCACACTCCTGGCACTGTTATTTACCCAGTGGTTCAGGTGACAAATCCTAAGAGTCACTGTTATTTTTCTTCTATTCTTCTCTTCCTTCCATCTGTTTAGCAAGTCTGGGAAACTTGACATTCAATGTAATCCCTGTATCTCACCTTTTCTCTTCATCCATTGCCTCCATGCTGCTATGATCCCTCATGAAGCTATGAGGATAGCTTCTTTTCTGATCAGTCTGCTTTCCATTCTTTCTCCTAACTCATTCCTTGCCCTACAGCCAGAGTGATAAAGTTAGCAGGTAAATGAGACCATGCCATATCATGCTAAAACCCCATCCTCCTCATTCCTAAGCACTCAAAACAACTCTGCATGGCCTGGACCCACCATCCTTTCCTCACTTGGGTTCTAGCAGTCTCCTCACTCTCTTTGCCTCTGTCCTTCACTTCTTGGTCCCTGGTTTATTCTCTCTGTGCCTCCTGCCCTTGTCCTTACCATAGCCTGGCAATCTCCCTCTGTACATGCACAGGCTGGCTCTGTCTCCTCCCTGGGCTCTGCTCAGAGAACACCTCTTTGAAGCCCCTGCTACCACACCATGATCCTGGAGATTCCCTCTGCTTCTGTCTCACATCCGTGCTTGGTTCTTCCCTGATATGATTCCAGCTGTGTTTTTCTGCCCATTGTGCATTTCCTGTGTGACCTCCCCATAGCAGGGACTTATTCACTGCTGATCCCCAGCTTCTGACCTGGTGACTGGCACGGCAGGGGATGAGTAAATAACATACAGATGTCAGACTTGGAGTGACAAGCAACCCACTTTGACACAGAAAGGAAGGACGAGCAGAATCTTCTATGGATAGGGATTTTGGATGATGGAGATAGAGTGTTTAGCACCACGGGCTCCTGTTTTCTCAGAATACTTGTCGACAAGAGTCAGAAGGTGGTATATGCAAGTTGTCTGGCTTCGAGATCAGTAAAGCATGGCAGTTTATATATGACTTTGAGAAGTTATGACATCAAGTAAAACTTGCTTCTTTTCACCTTATAAAGCAAAACAAGCTGACACTAAGCCATGAGTACCAGGGGTGTGTGAACATTTGTTAGTTGTATTATCTTGGTTTCTATATGTATTCATAGTGACAAGAGGGAAGAAGGTGGTCTTATATTATCTTCCTGAGCTCAATTTGAGGGGGGTCTTAGTTCTCCACCTGTTACATCCTCCTGTTTTATGAAATAAATTCCTCGAAACTGAGGAACATGGGGATATACCTGTGGGGTTGACATAGTGCTCCTGCTTCACAGCTTAACTCCCTAATTTGCTTTCCAGATGTCCCTGTCACTCATGATGTCCATGAGGAGAAGATGGAAAATGAGCAAAGCCCACCTGATGGCTTCTTGTCAAACTGTGCTCCAACAGAGCTTATGAATGTGACAGGAGATGGTATTCCACCCAACCAATTGGATTCTCTGTCTGATGACTTCACTGGTCTTAGGAAAGATGGGCTGATTCACAAACCTGGTAATAATGCACTTATAGAAGGAGCCAAAAGCTGCAATCTCTCTGTAGATGACCAAAAACTCGCAGTAACATCTACTTTAGAAACTGTGCCAAATTCATTGCAAATCACTCCAGCGATGGCACAAGGAATCAATGCTGATATAAAACATCAATTAATGAAGGAAGTTCGAAAGTTTGGACGAAGTAAGTAGTGAAGGAACATCTACCAATAATGCAGTGGGGGTGCATCTCATTCTATGATTCAGAATAGATTTAGACTGCCTCTTAAGGTGCATTTGGGGGCAATATTGGATTTTCGCAGAAAGCAATTTCTCTGGCTTGGTGGTATAGTTTCCTTTGGCTACTACAACAAGTTATCACAAAATTTTATGTTTCAAACAATACAAATTTATTATCTTGCAATTCTGAAAGGTAGTATTCTGAAGATATTTTCATCAGCCTAAAATGAAGGTATTGATTGGCCAACATTCTTTCTGAGAGACCTAGGAAGAATCTGGTTTTTTGCCTTTTCCAGCTTCTAAAGACTGCCTGTATTCCATGGACTGTAGCCCCTTCTTCCATCTTCAAGTCAGCAGTATTAACAGTTTTGCTCCTCCTTGACCTCTATCCTTAACATCTTTTCTTTCTGACTGTTACTCTTCTGTCTTATAAAGATACTTGTGATTACATTGGAGCTACGTGCATAAACCTGGATAGTCTCCCCATCTCGACGTTCTTAACTTAATTCTATCTACAAATAAGGTATATAAGGTAACATTTTTCACAAGCTCCAGGGATTAGAGACATTTGGGGCAGCCATTATGGAGCCAAGCACATTTGGTTAGTATTTACAAGTTTTCCTTAGTAGGTATGCGCAGACATTTTGATGTGTTTACAATATCAATTGTGTCTAAATTTCTACCCATAAGGAAAAATGACTGAGGATTTACAATGATTTATTTTTATTTCCTATTCATATCATGTTTTTGAAAACTTACTGAAGTTTTTAATACCTTTAGAATATGAACGAATTTTCATCTTGCTTGAAGAAGTGCAAGGGCCCCTGGAGATGAAGAAGCAGTTTGTTGAATTCACCATCAAGGAAGCTTCAAGGTGGGTATTAACAGGAACTCTGTGGTTTGTTTGTCTTGTTTTGTTTTGTTTCAGCAGTAGGGCCCAATGCAAGACAAAGAAAGAAATAGGCTCTGCCTTCATTTTCACAAGTGCTAGTCCTCTTAACTCCTAGTTAAGGCTGTTTCCAGAGGTGTTTAGATTGATATTATCTGAGTCCAACTAATTCAACCTAGACCAATTTGACTTTGGGCCCTCAATTGTTATTCTTAGTATTCTTTAAACCATATCTTTCCATAAAAACAAATTTTATATTCTCACTGTGTATCCTGCACAGTGCCTTGCATGTCATAACAGCTTTAAGTATCTTTAAATTTCTCTTTATTTTCAGGTTTAAAAGACGAGTCTTAATTCAGTACCTTGAGAATGTACTAGAAAAAATAGATTCCCATCACCTTCTCAATAATGTTAACCACATCAACAGCAGATCATCATGTTAATGAAAACACCAGTACAAAAAAGGACAAGTTTTCTGTGCTATAGGATGGAACAGGATATTGTTGAAGCCTGTAGCCTTCCAGAGGCTAAGAAAAAGCACTAGAGCTTTTTATTTTGTGATTATCTAGCAGTAAAAGTTGGGCTTTTACCTTAAGAATTGTTGAAAGTATTAACTTTTTGTTTTGCTGTTTCTTTTCCAAATTGAGAAAAGAGATGTTGTTAATTCAACAGGCTGAAATTCATAAGACACTGTTGCCCCTACCATAAGTAATAAGGGTTCACTCATTTGGACTTCGCCATTTTAGGCATTTTCAGAGTGATTGGGGCCACCCGCAAGTGGAGCACTATTTGGTTTTCTTATTACGTCCTTTAGAAAGAGTAAGCGTATAGAATTGAAGTGGTAAACTTACGTGCTGAGCAAAGTTTTCATTAATTCCTGGTTGTGCCTTTTAAACCATGTAATGTTCAGGAGTAAAAAGCTGCTATTTGGGTAACTTATTTCTCTCTGGGAGGGGCAAGAAGAGTCACCAAACAAATCTACCTCCAACTCTCTGCCCTCTTGTCTAGAGACATTACAAAGGGCACCTGAGTCTGTGCTAACCTCTGACATTTGTTCTTGCATATGACAACAGACAGTCTTCAGGTGGACTTGTACATTCTGTGCTTTGGAAGCACTAAAGAAAAAATAATGTATATATTTCTTTTAATGTTTATACAAAAGTTTATATGGAGCAGTATTGTTATGTTTGTATTACTTTGTAAAAATATAAGTGTTTAAAGAGATTTTGACTTTGCATATACGAAATAAATCATTTTATTGATTTTTCAAAAATTCATTAATGATAGAGAAATCTCTAGTTGTATGTCTCTTGTGACTTGTTATTGCTTTCAGAATAAACAAATTAGGATGTTAACTTAAGCAGTTTAATTTTCAAATATTACTCATTGGACTGAGTGATGTTAGTGGAAGGGTACTGTGGGGGCCAGCCCTTCCCAGAAGACACTGAAGGGGGAAAACCTACCAGAATCAAGGTTATTGGAACTCTGGAATATAGTCAAAAGTTTACAGCAACCAAGTGAATGCTGAGTCATGAGAAAAACCATTGAAACACAGTATAGGAATGCTTTTGAAGATGGCAGCTTGCATTCCAAGTAGGGGTCCCTTCTTGGAATGGGAGGGGGAGAGTGGGCCTTATTTCCAAAGTAATTGTGTTTGTATGTTTAAATCTGTCTGGGAGGAGCTCCCTGCACTGACAAAAGGGAGGGATTAATTGCCTTTGGTTCACATAACTTCAAATTCTCTCAGTGGGGAGCAGCTATGTGGAGGATATTCCTCAAAAACTTATCAAATGAACAAACTTGTACCTAGGGCAAACCATAGACATGCCACAGCTCTGGAGGAAACGGTAGGGAAAAAGATACTTTGGAGAATGAGGGCTTTTAAAATTCTCCAGGCATTTGAAGAAACCTCTGAACCACTAGCTGACCTGTGAGGTGAGGGAGCACAAACTTCAAAGACTATGCATGACAAAGGATACAGGCCTTACAAAAATAGTTAGAAAAGTTGATACACAAACCATGATAACCCACAGCAAGCAGCAACAATAAATCCTGAGAGGAGTCCAAATTTTCAGAGTCATCATATCATAGTGTTCAAAATGTCTAACTTTCAATAGAAAATTAGGAGTTACTCAAAGAAACAAGACCATAGGGCCAATAATGGGGAGAAGTAATTAAAGGAAACTGCTCCTCAGAAGGTATATTAATTGGATTTAATAGAAAACAAAGACAACCGTCTCAGATATCAAAGAGCTAAAGGACACCATGGGTGACACCAGTAGAATGATGTATGAACAGAGAGAATATGAATAGAGGTAGAAATAATAAAGGAAAACAGATAGACCTGAAAAATACACTAACTGGAAATGGAAATTTCCTTAAAAGGGTTCAACGACAGACCTGAACAGACAGAAGAAGGAATCCACGAACTTGATTATCTACTGTGAGGAGCAGAAAGAAAATGGGATTAAGAAAAATGAACAGAGCCTAAAACAACCTTAGCGTAAGGGACACCATCAAGCACAACAACATATACACAATAGGATCCCTGGAAGGAGAGAGGAGAAAGTGGCATAAATACATTAAAGGCTACCCAGGAGGCAGAGATCAGGAGGATCATGGTTCAAGGCCAGCCTGGGCAAAAAGTTACCGAGACCCCATCTCAACAAATAAGCCAGATATGGTGATCCATGCCCTTGATCCCAACTACATCAGAGGCATAGGTAGGAGGATTGTGGTCCAAGGCCAGCCTAGGAGAAAAAGCAAGACCTCATGTGAAAAATAATTAAAGTAAAAAGGGCTGGGTGTGTGGCTCAAGTGATAGCGCTCTACATAGCAAGGGCCAGGCCCTGAGTCCACCCTCCATACAGCTCTCCCCAATCCAAAATGGTTTATACTTGTACAAATTACATTTCTAGATTTCACTCATATATTAAGCACACATATAAAACAGAATTTTGAGTATGTTTTTCAAATCTGTTTTGCTTTCACACTGTCTTACTAGTATCAAGAGTTGAACAGAAATTCTCAATTTATTTAATATGACTACACTTTGTGGCTAGTGTTTCTATTCTGTTCTTAAAATCTGCCTGTATTTAACCCACAAAGATCCCAATATTCTTCTAGTTCTCCCATGAAGTAGGGAGTGAAGGTATGATGTTTTACTGTCTATATGAAGTGGACTTACTACTAAAAGAACTGTCACCCCGTAATGCTTTGCTGCCCTGGTGTCATAAATCTAGCTATTTTGCATTTGTCTATTTGTTTCCACACTCTCTGTCCTGTTCCACTCGTATGGCCCATCCTCGCTCTGACTCCATGGTGTTTCATTACTTTGCCTTTTCCAGTAAATCTCATATCTGCTTCTGTGTATCTCTTAACTTTTGAAAAATACTTCGGATATTCTAAGCCCCATGATTTTCATAGATTTTATTATCAGATTGCTAATTTTCAAAAAAATTAATGTGGGACTTTAAACTAGACTACTATAATGATTCTGGAGGGAGAGGCACCTGCACACCCATGTTTATTGTGGCACTATTCACAATAGCCAAGTTATGGAAACAGCCAAGATGCCCCACTACTGATGAATGGATTAAGAAAATGCGGTATTTATACACAATGGAATTTTATGCAGCCATGAAGAAGAACGAAATGTTATCATTTGCTGGTAAATGGATGGACTTGGAGAACATCATTCTAAGTGAGGTTAGCCTGGCCCAAAAGACCAAAAATCGTATGTTCTCCCTCATATGTGGACATTTGATCAAGGGCAAACACAACAATGGGATTGGACTTTGACATGATCAAAGTGAGAGCACACAAGGGAGGGGTGAGGATAGGTAAGACACCTAAAAAACTAGCTAGCATTTGTTGCCCTCAACGCAGAGAAACTAAAGCAGATACCTTAAAAGCAACTGAGGCCAATAGGAAAAGGGGACCAGGAACTAGAGAAAAGGTTAGATCAAAAAGAATTAACCTAGAAGGTAACACACACGCACAGGAAATCAATGTGAGTCAATGCCCTGTATAGCTATCCTTTTCTCAACTAGCAAAAACTCTTGTTCCTTCCTGTTATTGCCTATACTCTCTCTACAACAAAATTAGAGATAAGGGCAAAATAGTTTCTGCTGGGTATTGAGGGGGGTAGGGGGGAGAGGGAAGGGGCGGAGTGGGTGGTAAGGGAGGGGGTGGGGGCAGAGGGGAGAAATGACCCAAGCCTTGTATGCACATATGAATAATAAAAAAAATAAGGATTCTGGAGGGAATTAACAGTAATGAGTCTTAATAACGACTCCTCCAATCCATGGAAAGAATGTTCTTCATTTTGCTGAGGCCTTGAGTCTCTGAGTGATGACTGGTGCATTCTGTGGCACACCTCATTATATTTATTACCAGGTATTCAGTGTTTGGGACACATTTTGAATGGTACTTTAAATTTTATTTTTCTGATTATTTGTCGATTACTACACAAAATATGCAGGGCTTGATGAATATTTTCTCTAGGTCCAGAAGCTTGGCTATCGTCACTTACAGCTTCAGTTGTCTATTCTACACAGAAATGTCATCTGTGAATAGTGACAATTTTTCATTAATAAATAATAATCAAGGGCTTTGCAGTTGCTAGGCAGGCATGCTACCACTTGAGCCATGCCTGCTGCTCAAGTTTGTTAATCTTTTATTTAGGATTTTTGTCTCTTTTCAAGAAATATCATGGTCCATATCTGTCTTTTCTTTTAATGGCCTTGTTCTATGTTGGCATCAGGTTTATATTAACCTTATAAAATGAGTTTGGAGCTAGTCCCTCATTCCTATTATACAAAATTGCCTTGTAAGACACATTTCTCTATTGAATGTTTTGAAGGCTCCTCAGCAGAAGCCTTCTGGATACTAATGTGTGTGTGTGTGTGTGTGTGTTTTTTTTTTTTGGTGGTACTGGGGTTTGAACTCAGGACCTCAGGCTTGCTAAGCAAGTGCTCTACTACCTCCAACCCTTTAGGTGTTTGTATATTCTGTATGTTAATCCCACATGGAAGGAATAACAGGCAAGATTTCCTCCCATTGTGTGGGCCCTGTCTTCGCTCTGGAAATTGTTTCTCTGCTGTGCAGAAGCTTCTTAATTTGGTGCAATTCCATTTGTCAGTTCTTGCTGTGATTTCCTGGGCTATTGGAATCCCATTCAGAAAGTCACTGCCTGTGCCTGTTATGCAGTAATGTTTCCCCTAGGTTTTCCTTTAGCAGTTTCAAAGATTCAGGTCGTACATTAAGGTCTTTTGGTCCATTTAAAGTTTGATTTTGGGGTTTTCTGTATGTGGATAGCCAGTTTCCCACCACCATTTTTTTTTATGGAGCCTATATTTTTCTCTGACATGGTTTTTGCATCTTTGTCAAGAATCACGCGGCGCCAGTGTTTCACACCTATAATCCTGCATACTCAGGAAGGCAGAGATCAGGAGGATCGTGCGTTCAAACCAGAATGGGCAAATAGTGCCGCAAAACCCTTTTTTGAAAAACCCTTCACAAAGAAAGGGCTGGGGAGTGGCTCAAGGGTTAGGCCCTGAGTTCAAGCCCCAGTACTGCCAAAAAAAAATAGTATCAGATTGCTTTGCTCTAGTTGGGCCTTATTTCTGGACGGCTTTTATTGCAATCATCTAAGTGTCTGTGGGTGTGCCAAGTAACAATCTGTTTTTGTTGCTAGGCTCTGCAGTTAATAGTGTACATAGGTTGTTATGAAGGGCCAAGAAAACATTCCCACTCCTTTTACTCAAATTAGATATCTGTACTATAACAACACAAAAAAGGAAGACGGTCACTTTTCCTTTTTCCTTTTTCTTTTTTTTCTGTTATTTTGTCTTGAGGCGGGGAATTCCTTAGGGCCGACCACAAGCTTATTGATCCCACTTGCCTTCAGCTTCTCGGAGTGCAGGAGGCAGGAGGTGTACCACCTTGGCCACATTTTGCCTGTGTACCTGTGATTCTTCAGTGCCATCTTGTACGGCTTTTAGAGTTCACAACAGTCCCTAATCGACTTCCTATTCGCAATCTTTCCTGTGAAAAATGACTTGCCATAGTTAAACTGCGTCACTGACAGAGTCCTGGAACATAGCTGTTTGCTATTATTTAAGAGGGGACTCCATTTTGGGCATTCTGGGTGGATCACCAACAGGACTTCCTGGTGGGCATGTTGTAGCTTCCAGCCTGAAGGGCCTAGGAGCTTGACGATTCAGCAC